CCCTGGCTAGTTTTGCTCAGCGGTTAGAGCGTCGGCCTGCGGTCCGGAGAGACCCGGGTTCGGTTCCCGCTAAGGGCATGTACCTCGGTTGCAGTTTGTCCCCGGCCCTGGTTGGTCGTGCGGGTGGCAGCCACTCGATGTGTCCCTTTCACGTCGATGTTTCTCTCTCTCGCTCCCTTCCTCTCTCTCCCTCCCACTCTATCTGTACAAAAAATGGAAAAATATCCTCGGGTGAGGATAAAAAAAAAAAAAAAAGTCAAAGCTGAGAGTACAAGGTTTCCTTTTACAGTGATGAAAATGTTTTGGAACTAGATAGAGCTGGCAGTAACACAACATCGTGAGTGTATTCAACACCCCTGGATTGTTCACTTTAAAATAGTTTTCTATGGCCCGGCTGGTGTGGCTCAATGGATTGAGTGTCCTTCCATGGACTGAGAGGTCTCGGTTCAATTTCCAGTAAGGACACGTGCCCAGGTTGTGGGCTCGATCCCTGGTGGGGGCCATATAGGAGGCATCCAATCCATGTTTCTTTCTCATTGATGTTTCTAGTTCTCTTCTCTTCCTCTCTCTCTCTAAAAAAAATCAATAAAAAAACATTAAAAAAATAAAATAGTTTTTTATGACTTTAACCTCAGTTTTAAAAATTAATTTATGCTCTTCAAAAGAAAAATCCTGATGGAATAAAACCCACATAACTACATTACCGTTTTTATACCTAAACAAAAGTAACTGTTTTTTTTTTTTGTAATTGAATTTATTGGGGTGACATTGGTTAATAAAATTATATAGGTTTCAGGTGTAAAGTCTATAACATTCTCTGTATATTGAAATGTGTGTTCACCACCCCTAGTCAAGTACTGGTATTTTTTAGTACTACCAGAAACTTTCCTCTGTGCTAGACTTGAGTCCCTTTAAGTGCCCGTTCCTCGCTGTGTACGCTCTGAATGGCCAGGCTCTCCTCTCTTTGCTGAGTATGAATTCCATTTCTTCAGACCAGTCCTGTCTCTGACTGCTTGCTGGGGCCCAGGCCTGCCTGCTGGCACGCCCGGAGGACTGGCATCTACCTGGTGGTGGGTGCAGAGCAGTCCTCAGCTCATGGACTGCCTGCTGGCACGCCCGGAGGACTGGCATCTGCCTGGTGGTGGGTGCAGAGCAGTCCTCAGCTCATGGACTGCCTGCTGGCACGCCCGGAGGACTGGCATCTACCTGGTGGTGGGTGCAGAGCAGTCCTCAGCTCATGGACTGCCTGCTGGCACGCCCGGAGGACTGGCATCTACCTGGTGGTGGGTGCAGAGCAGTCCTCAGCTCATGGACTGCCTGCTGGCATGCCCGGAGGACTGGCATCTACCTGGTGGTGGGTGCAGAGCAGTCCTCAGCTCATGGACTGCCTGCTGGCACGCCCGGAGGACTGGCATCTGCCTGGTGGTGGGTGCAGAGCAGTCCTCAGCTCATGGACTGCCTGCTGGCACGCCCGGAGGACTGGCATCTGCCTGGTGGTGGATGCAGAGCAGTCCTCAGCTCAAGGACTGGGCTGGAAAAGCAGGCCGCTCCCTGCACCTGCCTGCCCTGCCTCCACCACCCTCCTCCAGCCTCAGGGCACAGAGGATTCAGTCCACCGTTTGGCTCCTTCCCGGCCTTCAGATGCAGGAAGATGAGTTCGAATTAGAGGCGCTGCTAAGCCTGCAGCTCCCTTCCCCCAGGATTCCATGTTCTCTGCAGGCCACGTTCTTCCCCCGATCTGCCACTGTCCTCTCTTGCTCCAGGGCTCTGCTTGAAGCTAAGGAGAGATGCTGACCATGGCAGGACTGTAGATAGGAAATGCCAGATGAGCATGTTTAGTATCAAGTCCCAAGGAGGAAGGAAATAGATCCCTGTGAGACTGAAATAGTTGAGGAAGGCTGGGCTGGCCATTGATTTTTGACAAGGTTGCCAAGACCATTCAATGGATAAAGAATAGTCACTTCAGTGAATGGTGCTGGGGCCACTGGATATCCACACACAAAAGAATGTAGCAGACCCTTCCTTTCACTGTATACAGAACTGACTCAACATCTCAGCCTAAGTATAGGAGCTAAAACCATGAAATTCTGCCCTGGCCGGTTTGGCTCAGCAGTTAGAGGGTCGGCCTGTGGTCCAGAGAGACCCGGGTTCAGTTCCTGCTAAGGGGCATGTACCTCGGTTGCAGTTTGTCCCCAGGCTGGGTCGTGCAAGTGGAAGCCACTTGATGTGTCCCTTTCACGTCGATGTTTCTCCCTCTCCCTCTCCCTCTCCCTCTCCCTCTCCCTCTCCCTCTCCCTCTCCCTCTCTCTCCCTCACACTCTGTCTGAACAAAAAGTAGAAAAATGTCCTTGGGTGAGGATAAAAAAAAATAAAAAATTTAAAAAACATGAAATTCTTATAGGAAACATAGGGGTAACTCTTCATGACCTTGGATTTGACAGTGGATTCTTAGATATGACATCAAAAGAAGGAAGAACAAAAGAAAAAAAGAAAGTGGACTTTATCAAATTAAGGCATTATCAAGCCCGGCTGGTGTGGCTCAGTGGTTGAGCATCGACCCTTGCACCAAGAGGTCACCGGTTCGATTCCCGGTCAGGGCACATGCCCAGGTTTGGGCCTGATCCCTAATGGGGGGCAGGTAGGAGGCGGCCAGTTGATGTTCTCTCTCATCAGTGTTTCCATCTCTTTCTCCATCTCCCTTCCTCTCTCTCTAAAATCAATAAAGAAAAATTATTTTTTTTAAAAAAAGGCATTATCAAGAAAGTGAACTAAAACCTACAAAATAGGAGAAAATATCTGCAAATCATAGTTTGATAAAAGTCTACCAGCATATATAAAGAACTCTTACAGCTCCAAACAATCCAATTAAAAAATGGGCAAAGGATTTGAAGTAGACCTTTCCCCTTAGCAGATATACAGGTGGCCATGAGCACGTGAAAAGATGCTCAGAGTCCTCAGTCAGCAGGGAAATGGAAATCAGAACCACAGTGAGATACTTCTTCACACCTAAGATGGCAGTAATCACAGAAGTGGAAAACAAGCGTTGGTGAGGACGCAGAGAAATTGGAACCCTGTATGTTGCTGATGGAAACAGGAAGGGGTGCAGTCTCTGTGGAAAACAGTTTGGCAGCTCTTCAAAAAGTTAAACATAGACTTGCCATGTTCCCCAACAGTTCTACTCGTAGGTTTATACTCAAAAGAATTTAAAGCAGGTATTGAAACAAAAATATGTACATACGTTCATAGCACCATTCACAATAGCCAAAAGGTGGAAACAAGCCAAATGCCCATCAGTGAATGAGTAGATAAACAAAATGTGGTACAGATGAGGAAACAGAGGTTCAGAGTGGCTAGAAACTTGCCTAAGGTTGTGCAGCTACTAGATTTGAACCCAGGCAGATGACCCAGAACCCCACTGCAATTTTAATTATGATACAGAGATAAATGTGAGAGATTCGTTTGAAGCCTGCTTACTACCTTGTCAGGTTGAGGAAGAGGAAGTAGGAGGAGAAATCTAGGGCCAGAGTGAAGACACCTCCCCACCGGATAACCAGGACCTGGTGCAGCTCCTCTCAAGTGGACCTTCCATGTAGAAGTATCTGTCCAGCCCGTAGACCCGTGGACTAGAACTCACGACTAGAGACAAATTCGAGAGGCGGCCAGCAAAGGGGTCTTCAGAAGAGAAGGAGAACAGGGAAGTAGTGTCTAGCCCTAGGCAGTCCCAGACTTCCCTGCTCACCTCATCCCTGCCGGAACCTACTGGCTGCATCCAGAAGCACCTAAATGGTTCTGTCAAAAAACTGTGGGTCCTGGTCGCCGTAGCCGGTGGCCACCGATGCTTTCTCCTAGCTCAGCTCTGGAGGTCGGTGTGGGAAGGAGCCTGATCGCAGACTTGCCACCTTCGTGCTAATGTCTAACATTTGAGATGAAACATGAATGATGTTCCTTTTCTGCGGTTCTAGGGAACTCTTGTTCTGCTTCATCTAGAGTATGAAATGCCCGCCCCCTGAAGGGCTGTGGTGACGTTATCTAGTGAAGCTCCCTGTCTTGGGGGAGTTCAAGGCAGTAAAGTCCAAAACATGAAAACACCTCAATGAGCCCTGACCAGTTTGGCTCAGCAGTTAGAGCTTCAGCCCACAGGCTGAAGGGTCGTGGGTTTGCTTCCTGGTCAAGAGCATGTACCTGGGTTGCAGGTTTGATTCCCGGCCCCGGTCGGGTAGTGCAGGAGGCAGCCAATTGATGTGTCTCTCTCACATCGATGTTTCTCTCTCCCTCCCTCCCTTCCTTCCTCCCTTCCATTCTATCTAAAAAAAATCCATGGAAAAATATTCTCAGGTGAGGATTAAAAAATAAATAAAAAATTTTTAAAGCCTCAATGATAACATCTCACTAGTCCCCCTGTTCCCTCCAGCCCACTGGGTGCAGTACTGGGATGGTAGCCTCAGGGCAGGGTCCCCCTCAGCTGCCTTGCCAATCTCAGTGTGACTCCGCCCTCTGGCCTGGTTCCTGCAAACCATGCCCCAAGCACAGGCTTCTGGGCTTTGTCCTAGCTGGTTCCTCTCCCCGAAATGCTCTTCCTTGTCCTGCATTGTCAGGGGCTGCCTGGCCTTCAGGGTTCAGCTCAGGAGCTTTACCAATGTGCTACCTCTCTTAACCCTCCCAGCATCCTGAGGTGGACCCTGTTGTACCATCTACAGACGTGCGTGCGTGTGTGTGCGCGCGTGTGTGTGGGAATGTACAGCCACTTGACAGCTGTTCAGGTAGAGCACACAGGAGCACAGAGAGGGGTGAAAACTCCCTCCAATCACACAACTGATACGTGAAGGAGCAGCTTCTGGAGCTCATACGGGCTCACAGGGGCAGCTGGCGGCGGATGCGAGCTGCGTTCCCAGCGGCCTCCAGCCGAGGTGGCTCAGGAAGCTGTACTGTAAAGTCTGGAAGGGGAGGAGCTCCAGGAAGCTTTGCTAAACCTTTTTCCTGTCTTTCCTCTTTGGGTCCAGGTGGAAGTGAAGCCATATGTGCTGGATGATCAGATGTGTGATGAGTGCCAGGGCACACGCTGTGGTGGGAAGTTTGCCCCGTTCTTCTGTGCCAACGTCACCTGTCTGCAGTATTACTGCGAGTACTGCTGGGCGAGCATACACTCCCGCGCCGGGCGGGAGTTCCACAAACCGCTGGTGAAGGAGGGAGGCGACCGCCCTCGCCACGTCCCGTTCCGCTGGAGCTGAGCCCAGGGCAGACCCAGCCACAAGCACTGGAGTAGATGCAAGGAGGGAAACGAGAGGGCACTGCCTCAGGGCTTACAGTGTTCTGGAAATCTGTGCATTCGTTCTCGATTTTTAAAGAAGAAATGGGTCTTTTTATTATTATTATTATTTACAGTCATATTACTGAACTCAATGTCCAGTATAATGCAAAATTGCAGAGTGTATAACGGTACTGATTTGCACTTTGATTCACACCTTTGTCTGCTTGGTACCTTCATTTCTTACACCTGACTTGTCACTCGTGACAGTACGTAGACTGCCATTCTCATCAGCAGCCATCGGGTTGATGTCTGTGGTTTTCCTTGTTTGTTTATCGTTGTTGTGTTGTTATTGTTCCGATGGTTTTTGAACGGGAGCATGCACTTATTTTCAGAAGCTCAGAGAGTTGCCCCTAGGAGAAGACGTACCAAAGGCAATCCTCGCGAGCAGGTGGCAGAGGTAGCGGAAACATCACAACAACTCAGCAATCATTAGTTGGGGTCATTTAGAGTAAAGATAACCCTTGATGAAAATAAGCCTTTAGTTGCTCTCTATTTCGACATGTAAGGATACCTCATAAGCTGAATCTTTATTTTTCCTTCATGTTTGATTTTTGTTTTGCTGAGGATTTTGGTTAGATCTTTTAGTATTATGTAAATTTATGCTGCAATAGCTTTTGCTGCTATTAAAATGGTATTATTAATACCATAATACTCTATTCAGGCTAAGGTATCAATGAAAAAAAAAAACCCAACAACACACTTTTGTGATTTAGGGATAGAATCAGCTGCCGGCAGGAGATCGGAACAGACTTCAGAAAGCTTCAACGGAAGGTCACTATTTCTGACTGCATGTTTACTTAATCAGGTTGCTGCATGCAATAAATTTTATATCCAATGTCTAGTATAAAACCTTCCCACAATGCACAAATTAAGAATCTATATAAGCTATACAATACTGATTTTTTTTTTAACGAAAAAGATTTTTTTCATTCAAAGAATTGGTAATCGACCGGAAGAAGGCATGCCTCAATAAATGGAATGCTTCTGAAATTAGGAGGAGCCCATAACAGAATGACCTATATTACAACCAATATAAAACCTAGGTGTAGGATATTCTTAAAGCAAATTTGTGGATGGTAGATGAAGTACTTTGCGGTGCTCTGTTATATATTGTGCAATTTATTTTATATAGTAAAGTGATTATGTCTAACTGTGATCAAACTTAACTGTTTAAAGCCTCTGTGTCAGACATTAATGGACTTGACAGTTCATAACTGGTATACTATTAACTAACACATGAGCTCTTAGTTACAATCTCCTAGTGCTTGCACCATTTTACATAGCTTCAGACCTTGTCCAGAAAACCAAAGAGCTCATCTTAGCTTACAGACACTAGGAATATATACAGTATATAGAGATAAGCTGTCAGATTGACAAACTAGGCACATTTTAAGAAAGTTGCGTGATGGTGATGCTAAAGAAATGTCTGTACCAAATACGATGGCCTGGGTGGAGTTGGTTGTCTGGGTGAGAAATTAACTACTTAAGTCCCTGGATTTATCCTGTAAAGCTTGAATAGAATTAAGACCTGCTAATACTACCATGGACATTTTTTTAGCATTCACTCTTGGGCTGCAGATGGTAATATATAAACACACACACAATGGTTGTGAGACTATGTACATTTTTTTTTTCCTAAATCTTCTTCCTATGTTCTGGAATTCTGGGGACAATCTGACTGGATATGACACTGCAGAATAGATTTAAATCGCTGTGTTTTGTGTGCTGTGCTGTCCTTGTCCTGTCTTAAGTTAATATTGCTTGTTTTTGTTCTGTTTTGTTTCTCCAGTGTTTCGTTGCAATTACCAGCTCTCAAACTATAGTTTGTTTTCAAAGAGGAAAAACAAAATAGTTTTTTACTGGATTAAAAAAGCTTATTAGAATTCTCCCCTTTTGAGGTTACCTCTGGGCTATTTGGTAATAATTGCTTTTTTCCAGCCCAGCTGTGGTTTTCTGTTTGTTTTTTTTCTATGTTTGTGGTTTTTTTTTCATCTGTACAAGAAATTTTGTTATGCACGACTACTTTTTGTATTCTAGACAGTTTTCAAAAGTTGGCTGAAGATTTATTCGTTTGTTTGTTTTTAAGGAAAAAGGCATGCTTTCTGACTGACATGATCTTTTGCAATACCTCAATTTTGAAATATAGGAGAGAAAATGATATTTTCTAAGTAAGTTTATTCAGAAAAATATATATTAATTTAATTCTGCAAGAAAAATGATTTAACAGATGGGTAACTTTATTTTTTTCATGCTTATTTGTGTTTTTTGAAAATGAAGAAGTTAGAGCTTTATAACTATAATATTAAAGATCATATCTAACCTACAGAAATCTACCTAATTATGTGAAAGAAGCAAAACTTTTTGAAGAAGCACCCCTCTTTCATGTACTAAAATAACACTGAGATTAAAAAAAAAAAAGTTGGAAGGTTGTACAGCATAAAGCTTAACATGGAAGCGAAAAAACATTGTCATGAAGAATAGGTTACAAAAAAATAAACTCCATTTGGTGCTGAAAGTTGTGAATAGATGGTGGAAACTACTTTCCCTTAATTTGTATATTTATAATCAAGCGTTGATTGTGCACGACTGACCAGGATTGTGAAAGAGTTCTTCTGTTTGTATTTTTTTAAAGAGAACTTTTTTAGTTTATTAAATTATAACATGTTCCCTTTTGTTTTGTAAATAAATGTGCCCCCAAGTTGTTAATGTTATATTAAAAGAGAGGGTCCTTCAAAAAAATTATTTTTTAAAACACAGAGGTGTTCTGACCTGCAACTTGACTGGGAAGCCCCTGGGTATCACAGGTCCTGTTGTGGCCTTTCCTTGATGTGACACTTGAACTAGTCGATTTTTTGAAGGCTATAACCTAACCTCGACTATTTGTTGTTATGTGCAATACTGTTTGTACTGTTTGTATAAAAAATAGAAAAAAAAAAGAAAAGAAAAAAGGCATAAATCTTTATTGCAGATTTATTTTCATTGCAAACTTTAGACATTGTGATTCACTGAAATCATTTTTCTACTGTCAAATATGTACCTTTTCTTCATGCTGGTATTTTTTCAATAGTAATGTAGCCTTTGTACTGAGACAAATTTTCATTGTTATTTTTAGAAAGATTTTTTGCTAAGAAAAAAATTAAACATATTTACATATTTTTCATTTTATTTCGTATTTTCTTTAAGGAGTGCTTTCTCAATCATTAATAGAGTTGTTTCTGGGAGGGACTTTCATATCTGGTCAATGTCATAATATTATTTTGTATTTTTACTTGGAATAAATTAATTTTATGATGCTAATTCTTTAAAAGTTTATTTTTTTCATTTTCAGTTATTTTTGAAGCTAAAACCTTTGTAATATTGTTACTAAAGTGTCTAGTTTTTTGAAATGCAAAGCTTTATGTATTAACTTGCTGATGTGGTTTACAATAGTGTGACAACAATGAAAATGGTTGGTTATGTAAAGTGATTGGAAACTGTAATGAATAATTGGGTAATAAAATGACAGAATGAGCAGAACATGTGAGATTTTGACAAGCCTTTTCCTTTGTTACAGTGGTTTAGTGTAAGATTAGGGATGTCACAGTACAGTTCTCTAGGGATGTCACAGTGGATTTATACAACACCAGGTGCAGCCAAATCTGTGGCCCTGCTCATGAAGTCACCCTAGTGAAATAGCACCAGGTGGAAAACCTGGCCAGGTCAACAGAACGACTCATTGCTTTCCCCCCTCTAACTCTTCATTATGTTGTGTGTGTGTGTGTGTGTGAGTGTGAGTGTGTGTGTGAGAGAGAATCTGCCACCAACTGCTGTCCATGTGTGAGACGGTGCCTTCCGCCCAGGCCACATCTTCTTCACTCACAGTGGTGATGTCTGAGAGTAAGAGCAGGTGCTGAGAGAACACCACCTTCTGTGGCATTCGACTTGGATTGCAAGTCACCCCTGTGCGGCTTGGGTGGGACACCAAGGAAGCACTCAGCTGTCACCACTGTATATGGACAGTCTCAGACTTCGTCTTCCTTCACCTCACCTGCTCCGTTATGGTGTCCCTCGTTTGTCCCTAATTGTCCCTTATTGTGGCAACACATCTGGCAACACTCTGAGCATGATCTGTCTGCCCTCCTGCTTCTTTTCCAACACCCACCTCACCTTGAAGCTGTGTTGTTAAGGCAGCGTGTCATTGTAATGGCACCTAAAATTGAGACCAAAAAAACGTACAACTGCAAAACTGGTGTTGCGTAAACAGAACATCCAATGACTTGCTCTAGATAGATGGTGTGTTTCTACTAGTCCTTGATGGCCTCCCCCAGTGCCGCTGCCACGGAGGCGAGGTAATCAATAACTCGGAGAAACGTGTGTCCAGAGTTGGCTTTTGGGTATGCTCTATGTATTCAGTTTTGTAAATAATATATAGATTAGATCAAGTCGTGATGTAAAATTTTAACTCAAATTGGGTATTACTGGTTGGAATTTTACATTAACTACAAATAAGTGATTAGGAACAGAAGAAACGAAATTGGAAAATTCTTGCTTAGTGGTATAAAGATTATGCTTAGATTTCTGCTTATATCTTGTGTTTTATAGCTTGTTAGTGAGGCATGGGCTAATGCAGAATGTATTGCATTTATGCAATTAGCAAATAACTGCTAGTTTTAATTTTATCTATTGTATTAGCAACAAAATGGTATTTAACTGGGTAAAGCTCCTACCTAAATATTTGAGTATTGTGACATCTCTACTTGCAAGGTTTGAGTGAAAGATTAGTCACAGATTAGTGAAAAAAAAAAAAGTATCTTTTTGTTAAAACTGGCTTATTTGTATGGATTGCTGCCTTTTCACTGGTTTGTATGGTATGTCAGCTAATATTTTCTGTTGATTTTTTTTTAATAACCAAACTTCTCTATCTCAGCTGCAATAGTGTTCCATTTTACCACAGAGTATTTTATAATTAATGCTGTTGACTTTATACCCCAAAATGGGTCAAGAAGTGGATATGTGATTTGAGGATGTTTCAGTTTGTCTGACGATGAAGCTAATTGCAACAAGTAGAAACCTTGGGTGCTAATACAGGATAACTTCTGCTCTTTTTCCTTTTCTGGATCTAGTTCTGTTGGGGTATAAAGTATTAGGTATTTGTATTTTTGCTGTCAAAATAATGGACATAACTTTTAGCGTGTTCACAGCTAAGATCTCTGTATTTGTTTTTCAACTAACAACTAATTTTAAATGTATTGTATCTTTTATTACCTGTTCTCTTAGATTGTTTTTGCTAGTAACCCTTACTCAGCTTCTGCCTTTGGGGCTTGGACTAATATTGCTTGTACGGAACTGCAGTACTGTGACTAAACATGGAGCTCAATGCAGCTATTGCTTACAACTGCTTAAACTTTGTAGTTTGGACTTCATTTTTTTCTGTAATAACAACTTATTAAATCTAGTTGTATGAAGTACTGACACTTGTCATCCTTTGAATTTGCTAAGGGACAGCGTGGCATGTATGGATTGCCTCTGGGAACATTGGCACGTTCAATCTGGAGGGAGGGAGGAAGATTCCTTCACAGCAGACTAAGCACAGCAACATTTACCTGTTCTCCGTCACAACACACATAAAAAAAAAAAAAAAAGAGCACGCGTACATTTGCAACGGGAAGCTATGTGGTGGTTTTACTCAACGTAAACCTGTGTTCAGTGCAAGGTTTTTAGAGGTGCAGTTGTTTTTCACGCCCGCACTCGCCACATGAAACCAATTTTCAAAATCAAAACCGAGTCAATGAAAACGTAAGTACGCCCCCCCCCCTTCGTTTTTCTTTTTACACGAGGCTCGCTCCGATCATTTCAGAAAATGGGTCTTTTTTAATCCCGGACCGACTCCGGGTGTGCAAGGAGCTCTAACTTGAATCCTTTTAGAAAATGGATCCCAAGTGTCTGGCGAGACTCGGTCCCCGGAGAGCTGCTGCGACGAGCAGGTGCGGCGTCCGGTGCAGGTCGCTTCCACCGGCTGGCGGGGTGGCGCGGCGCAGGGGTTTGTAAACCCCCAGGCTCTCGGCCCAACCCCGGGCCTCGCGTGGGCGCCGCGGGTCGCGCGGGACTTCCCGCCTGTGCGGGTCACCGGGCGCCCGCAGCGCTCGGGCCCTGGGGAGCCCGGCGGCCAGGACGGCGGCGGCCACGGCCCCGGGAGCCCCGGCCCTGAGCCACCCAGGCACGCTCCCCGACAGGGAGGGATGGGGTCGGGCCCCTCCGTCCCCAGCTCGGCCGGGCGGGTGCCCGGTTTCGCACACGCTCCTTCATCGCCGCCTCCCTCAGCCTTCTCCCAGCCCCAGGCTGCGGCACGGCACCCCTTCCTGGGGCGGTGCCAAGTCCGCGTCCCACGTGTCCCCTCCGCCCAGTGTGACCCTGGCGTGGGTCCTCGCTGCAGCCCTGCAGGTAAGCTCACCCCAGCGGGCCTGGAGGGCAGCTCGGGCGCCCCGGCTCCGTCTGCGCGGCTCCGGCCGCCGCCTCGCTCCGCACAGGCTTCCCGAGCCGGGCCGGGCGCGCCGGCGCCTGGAGCCCAGGCCGGGGCCTGGGAGCTCGTACCCCTCCAGAAAGGGGAGAGGAATATTATAGTCCAGGTCCCTTTTCTGGTGGACTCTGTAAAAATGTTTCATACACGAAGCCACAGCGGAACCCCCTTTTCAGAATGCTGGTCCGACCTCCGCCCCGCACCTGTGGGGGAGAAAGGCTCTGATGTCCCCGCTCGTGGAGGGGAGGGGCGTGGGGAGGGACTGGGGCCTTTGTGACGAGCAGCCTGCTATTTCTAGGGGTAAAACCCGGGGTTTCTGTCCAAGGCCCCTGCTTACAGGGGGGACCGCTCACGGCCGCGAGCGCTGTGGACGCGCAGCTGTAACTGGACCCGGGTGGCTTTTCACCGGACCGGGGGCCCAGGGCCACGTGGGCAGGCCCCGCCTGGACGGCTGAAGTCATATTTTCACTGGAACAACGGCCTTCAAGAGGTGACGGATTGCATAATGGGGCGAGGGGCGGTGGGTCCTGCTGCCGATCAAAGGATTGTTGGGAAGAACTGTTTTCTCTACCAAATTAGGTTCGGTGATTAGGAGTCTGCAAATGAACTGACAAAAAGATGACTAGAAGAGACAAAGCTTATTCACATGCACATGACGCGCACAAAAGAAGTGGCCCCTTAATAACTAAAGATAAGTGTTTATAACCTAATTGAACGGGAAAAGGGGGGAGGAAAAGGCTGCAGTGGAAAGACGCTGGGTCTTTAGAGGAACAAATGAAGGAAAAGCCGGTGATCATGTTGGTTTACGCAGGTGTGAGCGTTTCTCTCCTCCTCCTCTGGCCAGAGAAGCCCCACCCCGGAGCGGGCTCTGATTACCGCCTGGCCCTGGAGTTTCTGCCTTTAGTCAGATAAGAGCAGCTCTGAAAAGGCTGCTTTTTTGCATCTGTCAAATCGCAGACACCTTCCGTTTAAAAGTATCTTCAGATCAACGTGGGGAGTCCGAGGGGGTTCCCGCAGACAAATGGCTGGAATAAAGCCGTCACTGGAACAGACAACTGAAAGTTGTCTTTATTCTGTCCGGTCCGTCGTATGGAGGGAATGAAATTCTGTCTGGACATTGGGTGTGTTTAGAGGAAGAGGACTTGGCTCGAACTGCTTGTACCCGCACCTCAACAGTTAATCCTGGCCCCTCACGAGTGACCAAGCCATGTGATGTCCTGCTGGTCCAGTCTTTGGTTCGATGGTTGAGCTGAACTGTGGAGTATGAGAAACACTGTGACTCCTCAGCTTCAGTGCAGGCCCAAACCCAAGAAGACTGAATGGAAGAACTCCTGGGCTAGCTTTGGTCCCTAAACTGAGGAGTCGTCTTGTGTACCTGGCCTCTCAAAAAACAGGGCCCTTGTGCTCGGTTCTGTTACTCATCATGGAAACCCAAGCACAATTCCGACGAATACCCACAAGAATGAATGAAATTTAAAAGCCTGCAAATACCAAGTGTTGGGAGGATCTGGATAAGGACTAGAAGAAGTGTAAAGTGGTACAGTTCTTTTAGAAACTGTTCTAGGAGAGTTGAATGTGTGTATATACTATGACTCGACTTTCTCACTCATAGGTTATGGCCAACAGAAATACATAGGACATTCCCAAAAGACATATACGAGAATGATCATAGCAGCACTATTCCCAAACAGGAAATTATTCACGTCCTGCAACGTTAGAATGGATAACGTGTAGGGTTGATGTAAGAAACATCCAACTCTGTAGAGAATTTTTATGAACTTATTTGAGCCAAACTGATGACATGTGCTAGGGAGCAAGATCTCAGCTGCTCTGGAGAATAACGGTTTTGCAGCTGCTTTTGTGCATTGAAATTAAGGAGGGGACATGGGGAGGGTTAATGGAGGTGGGACAGCACAGTGGGGATTGGGTTACGGGATAGTTAACAAGGTCATGTGGTTAAGGCGTATTTCAGAAATGTGTTAACCTAAGTGCACAGAAACAATGGACAAGACTGACTTAAAAACTTTCACTAAAGAAGTTATGGGCCTGGGGTGTGACTTACCCACCATGACTTGCCCAGTTAAGAATGCATTTTCCGTCCACAGTACATCCACAAATGGAACCCCAAGAATAAGGTGGGAATGAAGATCCACAAGTCTAAGCAGCATTATAGAAGGCTCTCACTGTGTTGATCACAAGAGGCCAAGCTCAAAAAAGCTCAGAATATATGACTCCACATGTGTAAACAGGCAAAGGAGTGACTGAAAGGGGCATGAAGGCGGCTTCTGGGGTGACTTTCTTGAGCTGGGTGTTGAATACACAGGTGTGTTCAGTTAGTGAAAATTCATTGAGCTTATACACTGTGGTCTGTGCTCTTTTCTGTTTTAATGAAATAGCAAAACAAACAAGAAAAGACTGAAAACTGATGGAATTCTGTCTTTCCGGCAACCTCCGTATCATGTGCCTTTCGCACTCCTGAGTAGCCACATCCCCTTCCTGCCCGTCCAGGCCACGGGTGGCCATGCAGACTGCCTGACTTCCCACTCACCCTGGTCCCACTCTCCCCCACCCATCTCCAGGCTCCTTTCTGCTCTTCCTGAAACCTACCAACACCTAGAAGGATTTTTTTTTTTTTGTCAGTTTGGAGGGAATGGTGGAGTGGAGACATAAATTAATAAACTCCATCAATCTTCAGAAATTGACGCTTGAGTGTCAAGCATGGACAGCCAGCTGCTTGCTCTCCGCCGCGCACGTGCTGCCGGGTCTCCAGAAAGTCTTGCTTACACCCGAGATCTGTTGGCCCCACTTCCACCTTATAATCTGATTGATTTTTAAATTTATTTTTAACATTAATATGTTTTTATTTTGAGATACTTATAGATTCAGATACTGTGGTAAGAAATAAGAGAGACCATGTATTCTTTTTTTTTTTTTATCCTCACTTGAGGATATTTTTGCATTTATCTTCATTCAGATAGAGCGGGAGGGATGGAGGGGTGAAGAGAGAGAAACATCGATGCAAGAGAAACACATCAAGTGGTTGCCACCTACACAATCTCAGCTGGGGCCGGGGACAAACTGCAACTGATGTACATGCCCTTAGCGGGAACTGAACCAGGGACTCTCTGGTCCGCAGGCCAACGCTCTAACCACTGAGCATCCAGCCAGGGTGAGATCATGTATTCTTGACCCAGACTCCCTCTAGCATCTTGCAAAATTGTATTAACTATCACACCCAGAATATTGACATCGCTGCAAACAAACTAAGGAACACACCCATTGCCACAAGGAACACTGATGTTGCTCCTACTTCCCCCCACACCCACCCTGCCTCAATCCCTGGCAGACTAACAGCCTGTTCTAGAACTTTCTCATTTCAAGAGTGATGTATACCTGGAAGCAGCACCTGTATAACCTTCTGGGACTGCCTCTTTTCAATCAGCATGGTTCTCTAGAAACTCATCCTGGTGCTTGTCTCTGTAGTTTTTCCTTTCAATTGCCAAGTACAGTTCCGGAGTGTGGATGCACGAGTCGAGCTGTTGACTCTCGGAAGGACATCTGGATTGTTCCTAGTGTGGGGCTCTCACAAAGAGAGCTGCTGTAAACATTTCTGTACAGGTGTTTGTGTGAATGTGTCTGCCTTTTCTCTGGAATGAATGCCCAGGAGTGCAGGAGCAGGGTCATGTTTACGTTTTAAAGAAACTACCTAACTTTTCTGGAATGGGTATTCCTTTTTACATATCGACCAAAATGGATGAGTGATCCAGTTTCTCTGTGTTCTCTCCACCATTTGGGCTTATCACTACTTTTTCGTTTGGCCATTCTGATGGGTACGCAATAACATCCCATGGTGGTTTTAATCAGAATTTTCCTAATGGCTAATAGTGTTGAACATTTTTTATGTGAATATTTATCATCTCTATCTCCCCTTGAGGGAAATGTCACTTTCTA